TCGATATACTGTATTATATATAAATTTTAATTGAGCTATCTTAACGAATATTGATCCAATTTTGATGATTTAACTACTATTATGACCATAATAATATGCTGAATAATATTTATAAACAAAAATTACAAATTTTATTAAAAATTTTCGAAACAATTCACTTTTTTTAATATAGTTTTGATATACTTTATTATATATAAATTTTAATTAAGCTATCTTAACGAATATTGATCCAATTTTGATGATTTAACTACTATTATGATCGAAAAAACATGCTGAATAATATTTATTAAAAAAAATTACAAATTTTATTAAAAATTTTTGAAAAAATTCGCATTTTTTAAATATTATTTCGATATACTGTATTATATATAAATTTTGATTGAGCTATCTTAACGAATATTGATCCAATTTTGATAATTTAACTACTAATTTAAAATTTTCAAATTTTCGCTAATTTTAAACGAGTAAAAAAATAAAATGCATTTTATTATCAAAGTTTACATTGGTAGAAGTACAAGTTTACAAATTTTGTAAATGATCAACTCTCTTTTGAAAAATTTTACCAGTTGTTCTTAACTGCGCCATTATACCTCCCGTTACTTTATTCGTATATACTGTATTATTTTTTCGGTCAAGTTTTATTGAAGCTTGATAAAGTAAATGCACAGTAAAATTATAGTAAACGTCACACGCATCACGGGAATATGTAAATTGCGCAAAATAATTTATTCTCAAACTTTCTCAAAATTCTTATGTATATTATTATTAAAAGGGTCCTTGATCTTTACATATGGGTAGCGTCAAAGTTTATTGTTAAATTAAAAAGGAGAAGCTGCTGATCAGATCTTGCTTATATTAACGTAATTTTCTCCAAAAGCGTATTCCAAAATCGATCCTGGAAATTATATAAAAGGTGATGTCCCTGTTAGTGAATCCTTTTATCCGACTTGCGCAAGTAAATAAAAAAATTCAAACCAATTAACAATCAAACGAACTCGTATTTTCCGCAAAGTAATAATGAAGTAAGTTGTTTTGCTCGGCTAACTTCTTGAAACATGCCATCATGATGTTAATCGGGTTTCCCACCTTTATAGATGTTCCAAAATAAAACGGACGTATTATTCTTCTTGTTATATCGGCATTTTGATCTTCACCGAGAAAATCTTTGATAACTAGCAGTATTACAAAAATATTATCTAATCTAATCTAATCCACGTGCCTCATCAACGCAGTAAAACAGAATTTGGCGCAGTATTGTACTGGTGATAAAAAAACCGACATACCTTTATTATAACGCTCTAAGCAACAAATTTCCTAAATGCAAGTCGGAATGGAATGTTGTGAAAATGAATTGTAGTGGTAAGTGTGAATTGCTAATCTCCCGAATTTATGCGAAATTACTTAACGTTAATCTCGGAGAAGTTTTCTTGCGGGAAATAATCTTTTATATAGTCTGTGCGGATATAGATAGACGAAAATTCTGTAGATATGCGCGGGAAAATTTATTTCGGAAATCTTGTATAATAAAAGAGTGTGGGGTGAGAATCTCGGTTAGCAATAGTAATAGAAATAAATTAGATGTAGAAGTTTATAAAAAGCCTGATAGAACAAAGAAATAAATTAATGCTGGGACTCACCTAGGATCTGCGTACTCCCTCCCTCTTTGATAGCATCATACATTTCATTCGCTTCTCTAGCATTTTCAGCTTTGCTTGTGTAGTAACATCTTTTAAGGCAGAATTAGGATTTTATCACTTATATTATATTGCATCAAAAATAATAAAATTACTCAATCACGGTTTATTATAAATAATATTGCGTTTAGTCAAAGACTGAGGACATAACTAAAGGTCTTTGTACGGTGGCAGCGGGGCGGGACAACCCAAAGAGTTATGTCCGGCTGATCGAATCATCTTGTCGATGAGGCACGAGTGCCAACATCACCGCACAAACAACCGTTGCCACGGAGGAGACTATGACAAAGAGCCAGAAGTCAAACACAATAGCGATGTCCTCACAGATTAGATCAAGTCGTTACGTGGTGGCAGCGGGGCGGGACAACCCAAAGAGTTATGTCCGGCTGATCGTACCATCTTGTCGATGAGGCACGAGTGCCAACATCGCCACGCAACCATTCGTGGAAAGTAAAGGTTTTGCATTAAGCATTCTTTCTTGTCCACGTTTGTTTTGACTATCACGTTACATCTGGATATCCAATAGATAAATGGATAAACGGATAATGGTTACGTAAGCATAAGATAAATTCAGTTTATGCTAAATAAACCAAATTCATTTTGCGCTAAAATAAATCATTTTGCTAAGTTTATTATTCTTAGCATAAGCTTGGTAAAAACAATAAAATTTATCTCTGCCTAAACCGACATTTTTACACAATATCAATATAATGTTGGTATAGATAGATGATAATATTCGATTCGCCTGCATCACTATCCACCGGTTTGATTTTATAATAATAACTTTTGACCTATTAGCCTATTTTAAATAATTTTATTACTAAAATGTTCTACTTAATGAGACGATTTTAACGAGCCCAAAATCATGACGCATCTCCTAAGGAACGATTGGTTGAACATAGTCTATACTGTAGGAGGTGCGTCATTATTTGACACGTGGATATTTCAAGACCCTATGAATGGATGATTTTGGGCTCGTTAAAATCGTCTCATTAAGTAGAACATTTTAGTAATAAAATTATTTAAAATAGGCTAATAGGTCAAAATTTATTATTAAAAATATTATAACAATCTCGAATTAAAACTCAGTCAGCCAATAATGGCTTGATCATGCGATGATATAAATATCATAAATTATAATCACAACGTATATAATATTCGGCATAACGCGAGAGTGATGGATGCTGCATCAACGATCATGATTTGTCGAATAAATACGTAATTATTATCTGGCAGCTGATCCAATTTTAACATATCAATATTTTATGATTAAATTTAAGGTTCAAATTCGGAATATCTAAATAAAGGTCCAAATCCACCAATCCGCCAGAATGGTTAGCTCGGCTAGCCGATCGGTTTACGGATCAGCAGAGTCGTTTTGCATCTCTACTTGCAATCGCGTACCCTAACTGCTAACATGCATGGGAGTTATCTACGACAAAAGTCCTGGTTATCAAGGCTATTCACAAAGTACTCTACATAAAACAAACCAAAGTATTAGATTATAGTAATCATCCGTGCCTGGAGCTTTTTATTTTTCTAAAATTATTTTTAATTGTGTTAAAATTATTTATGTGATTGATTAATGATAACAATTCTAAAAATGCTTTCCTGTCCTAATATTTATATAACCGCCACTTATTCTATAAAGCCATTCTAAAATAAATTTTAATATTTTCATTAGATTTTAAAACTTGAATCGGATTTATAATACAAATAAACAACTCCTAAGCTTAAAACAGAAGGCAATAATCTAAGCTGAACAACAAAATAAACCCATAAAGTAGCAAGTGAAGGACATCGACGCATTACTCCATAATAATTTGCCTTGTTAATAACCCAAATCAAATGACAACCACATAATATTGAACCTAAAAACATAAGTACTTGTAACCAATTTTTGTTAGCGTATTTGTTAGTATAATAGACAAAAACCCAGAGAACTAATTAATTGAAAAATAAAAAAGTGATTAGTTAAATCGTATTTGAACTTTAATTTCTATAATTCCGAAAACATAGTTAATATGCCATGTCAATTAAGCTTTTTGACAAATACTTACGTGGAGCAATCTTCACAACTCTTGTACTAAATGGAATAAATGTGACCTCTTCGTTATATTGTCTATGAACTACAACGTCCAGCATACTATAAACAGCACAAAGTGGAATAGTATATATAAAGGCTTGAAAAGTAAAGCCGTAGTGAAATGGATCGTTTTGATCTATTTGTTCACTATGTTCTTTTTCTGCTTCTTTGAGTTTATTAAATAACCCCGTTGATTTTATTAACCGAATTTTTTCCTCATCAGGAATGTCATCAGCTACCTCATTTTGAGGGGTGTTTTTTTTATTACGCTTTTGTGTAGATTTAGTAGAATTAACCATTTTTTTTTTTTTTTTTTTAATCAAGGCCACACAAAGTTAATTAATCGATTCTCATAAACTGACTAGATCAGTTCGTATTTTTTTTTTAAAAAAGATATTTATTATAAAAGCTTTTGGGTGAGTTTAAAGAAAATACTTCGCTCTAAGGTATATTTTTATCATTATGGTTAGATCTGCAATATTTAATTTAGCGATTTAATGTTTTATTGGTCAAAATTACAGATATACCAAATTCAGGAGATCACTAAAAGTGGGGATCTACTTTTACGTATTACAACTTACCTTGAAACCGAAGAGATTTCGGGAAACGAACAAATTTTTAATTAGTGCGAGAATTTATGAGAACAGCTGTAAATTTCATTATATAAATATTTTTAAAATCTCAGCCGTTTTCATAACGATAATTACTGAAACGTTCGATAAAAAAATTATGTTGAAGGATTTTTTTGGCTGATTCGATTAAGTAGTGATTTCTGCATGATCGGTATATAAAAAATATAAAAAAATATGTTATATTCATCTACGTAAGTGGAAAATTAGATGCGGATCAGATGATCGGATAATGACAAACGAAGCAGCCTTGCAGGGCCGATGATTTATTGCGATCGCAGAAAACATAAAATTAAAAACTTGTATTTTAAGCGTATATTTTACTTTATTAAACAAATATATACCGTATAGAGGCAAAGCGTATGAATTTATTAGAATATGTTGCCTAAATTTAAGAGAATGATATAGTTAAGGCTCCATTCCATAAGATGTCGCTAGACGATCTGCCAACTGAATACTGATTGGAATTCCTGTCATAATTCTCATAATTCCTGGGACAACTGAAAAATTGCTCATTTACGGTTTTGTCTTAATATTCACCGAACTCTCTCAGAGCTTCTCTGAGGTAGAATTTGGGAACACAATAATGCTGGCCCTGCTCCCGATGCATTCCAACCCGGAATTTTGGTAATAGGTTCAAAAAAAGGTAACAAACCGGTCAAAAAAAGGCTATTATCTCACGTGATTGCAAGTTTTAAAATATAAATAGCTTCACTCCTTTTAAGAACAATTTTAATTTCCTTTATTAACAATGGTGACCGACGGTCTGGCTGTTAAAACTTCAGCGACACAAGAATTTGCAATTGAAAAGTTATATCATGAAATTTGTTATAAAAAGACCCCCAGGTCGGTTTAAGCCATTTATTGTAACTTTGAGTGAAGAATATTTCTAATTTCAATTCTGTCGTATTAGACGTATCGCGTGGTCTCCTCAAAATTTGATAGCATGGTCACCTACTAATAGCGATACATTTGATACCCGACATCAAGGTTCCGTTCCAAGCATTGGCATTTTTAATCCATGCAGGCTTCCTTCAGATGATGGCAGCGCAGGATCAGCTTGGTCTTTCACAAGAAAGAGCAATTTTTTCCCTCTTAATGATATTGAAAAGCATCACCGTCATGGTGATGAAATCACTGATCTAGTATGGAATCAAACTGGTTCTGCGTTGGCTTCAATTGATCAAAGAGGTAAAATTGCTTTATGGATGATGGACAATTTTGTGAATCAATGGAAATGTATATGTGATGTTGACCTTGGTGGAAGTATTGTTGAATTCTCATGGCTAGATTATGTACGAGTGGTAAGCATGGAGATAGTATTTGAGAAATGCAAATAATCCAATAAGAAACTTATATATTCTATGCATAGTACTCCCGTGTCTCTGGTACTGGAACATCAATGTATAAGCGGGGTACATTTAAAGGTCCGCGAAATCAATTTGGAGAATTCGCGTTTCTAACAGTCACTTCTGATGGCAAGGTAAAAACTATATATCATTATATTATTGACTTGATAGATTCTAAATTACTATTCGACTTAATTATTAAAGGTCACGGTCTGTTATCAAGACGGGAAGAGGTTTTTTTCAAAAATTAATACAGAATTGCCGTTCATATCTGGTCGTATATCACGCATATCGCATGCAGACTTAATACTTAATAAAGGTATCTTACATTTTTTAGTGATCTATAACTACTGATCATATAGTGGATTTCTCTCTTATGAATGTTAAATCCATGATCTCAAAATATTTTACATTAATGCATTATTGATATTTATCTTTATTTAATCCTAATTAAATAAGATGGCCGTTATATTTTGGCTATACATTGTCCTGAATATTGTCAAAAGATTGTAATGTTTTATGAAATCTCTGTTGATATGCTCAAATTGCATATTAATTGTCAACCGATCGCAGATGTACACCTCACTGCTCATATAAACGATTCATCGTTTACTATCGATAGGGTTCGAGCTCCTATTATACACCTAAAATTACTCTCAGATTCCCAAGATAATGTAATTAAACTAATAGTTGTCACAGCTGACAAAGCTGGTAAATAGAATAGATTATTTGGTAATAATTAAGCAAATTTCTTCACACAATATATTAATATCCCTATTATTCGCAAGATAATGGCGACGGAAATAATATTTTTAATAGTGATGTGATTATGTGGGAACTACAAACGTCCCCTATAAGTTTAGATTTTAGTAGTCTGCCATTACGAGACAATAACCATTCTAAGGTATTTTGCTTTTATCATATGACGATCTGTGAAATTATTCCATTTAATTGATATAATTCATTATTTTTTTTTTTTTCTAGGAAATTCGCTTTGTTGCCGGTACTCATTTACCCGGACAATTAGTGACTAATATATGGGTTCATAAAAGAGAGCTTTTTATTGGTCTTAGTAATGGTCAGACGCAATTCCGTAACTGGTAAGAAAAACATCAACATCAGTGTGATATTCTTGTATGTCTAGAATGTTATTTCTGCATGAACTTTGTTTTTCTTAACAGCAGTTCACCTAATTTTTTTTTATTTTTTTATTTTTTTTATTTTATTTCGTAGCACCACATTACAGATACTTCCTCATGTCGGGCAAAGTATTATTAAATTATTTAAGGATGACCTTTTTCCAACTTATAGTGCGTGGATACCTCATAATGGGAAGGATGACTCAAATACAAGTGGTAAAATTATTTATTTTACGCTTTTTTTTTTTTTTTTGTTACTGTTTGAAAGCTATCTCACTATTCTTTAATTCTAGCAATAACGGAATTTGCTACATCACCCAATGGTACGTTGCTACTTTGTGGGCGATTATCTGGTGAACTTGATTGTTTTGATATGGCAGATATAAATTGGGCATCTTCACAAACTAACATCGACATTATGGGTAAATATTATAGATAGCTTGTGTAAATTTGTTTTTCTTCCTGTTTCTTAAATATTTCTTCTTAAATGATAGATTTGTTTCAGGTGGCCTATGCTTGCGTAAATCAATTAACTTTGTCTATACTAAACAACACGGATCATACGGATTTGGAAAATATCGTAAGGAAACATTATATTTCTGCTATTTCTGAATCGAATGGTAAGCAACATCTCCTATTAAATACATAATAAACGTTGGAATTTATTGATTAATTATATTTATATTTAGTCATAGACCAATTAGATCTCATATTACAGAGGATCTTCGTTAATATCTCTAACGTTTTTCCACATGGATTTGAATCGGCGATATCTTCTGATTTTCTGATTAGACTTTTTGGATTACAGCTTTCACTATTAAAATCTTGTGGGCGTGATAATATTTCATATTTAAATACCTTATTCACTATGCATCTACGTGCCTTAGAAATTACTTTTCGAAATAGTATATCTTCGGATGATAGTTTTGTAGCGGGTAGGTTTTTTTTTATTTTTCTCATGTCTAATTTTAACAGCATCAAACTGAGCGAAATAAACCCAACTTTCACGTAGATTCTCTCCCATCCCTTGTATCTCTAACATCATGGATTTTGGATTTTTTTGCGTATTTCATACGAAATATTTATTTACTATACTTCACTAAGAGTCAAGGACATGGTTCAGGTAAATTTGAGTGATGGTATCTTTTTTATTTTTAAAATTGCTGAATATCCTATTTTATGCATTAAAATAAATTTTAGCCAACGAAAAGTCTCATATTGTCCTCCTTTACCATTCCATAAGCCGATCCGCATTGGAAAATCTAATTTCATATGTTGGACAATTTGAGAAATATATAGCTAAACTTTATTCAAATAATCCGAGCGATCCAAAAAATAAAATGATGCATCGGTCACTACAATACTCTTTTGAAAAATGGCCATTAAAACTGGATTTATTAGGATCATTCATCAAAGAATCTAGGCAGATTATTGAAAAAACACTCTCAGGTATCTATAAATACTAGATGTTACAAGTATCTTTGATCGCTAGTATAAAAAATGAACAACAAATCTTTTCAATATTTAGACTCAGGATTATCCGATAGCAAACAAAACATGTACCTAATTATCCTTCGTTCTGTTCTGCCCCAGTCTTTACACGGAACTTTAAAGGAAATTGAGCAAATCTTCATAACTTCTTTCAATGCTGTCAACAAAGTTAAGCTATACGCATATGATACGAAATTGATTGAATCCGTCTCTATCGATATCGTTCTCAAGTCGCGTACCAGTATGGATCGAACTTGTATACGGTAATAAACATAAAATCTTTCATTTTACTTAGTTCCCACCTCTTAACTTTTTTACTTATTATGAACAACTTTATTTTATAAGGTGTGGGCATTATTCTGCAATAATGGATGTACAAAACACACGATGGGCAAAAAGCTATACAAGATCTTGTGTTTGTGGGGGACTTTGGATTGATATAAGAAATCAATAACATTTATGTTTTGATATTAATTTTGGTGTTACGGAAAGCTAGACAATTTTTTAAAAATTTTATTATTTCTTAATAATATTACCAGATAAATTAGTGTTCGGATAACAATATTTGAACCTTCAGTCAAAGGACTATTTTGTTGGTTGCATCAGTTATTTATGATCCTTTATGACTAAATTAGAATGAAAGCTGCGTTTATCACCGAGCAAATTTTCATCATAAACCGAATGGTATGTTTAAAATTCTAGTGAATTTTTATAGGATGGCATTTTCAGAGATGATTCCTAGTCAGAAGTCAATTAAAATATTTATAACTTTAGTATATGTAATAAAATAAAAATTTATTGGTAAAATATTCTGGATCCGATTTTGTAAATTTATTTTTATCTACAGAACGGAAAAAGTGATTTTTATAAGATATAATAATATCAATCATTTTTAATTTTACGTGATTTTAAAATTTAAAATTGCTCATAACTTTTTATCTACCGAGTCAACTTTACCAAACTTACTACCATTAGCTTTATACTTTTATTTAGAAGCTTACAAGATGCTAGCTTAGTAAAAAATTGACTTTATATTGTACGTTTTTTATATGTCATTATATAATTTACTATTAGAATTCTCATTAATTCATGGATTACCAACTAATTTAATACTGTAATATATATAGTATTATTAAATTGTTTTATTACAATAAATCAAATATATAATATAATATTAAAATTATTTAATTTTTATTATTATAATTATTTTATGTATAAAAGAAAATTTTATTAATAAATAAAAAATAAATAGTTAATTTTTAACAATAAACCTATAGTTTTAAAATTTATTTTTTAGCAAAAATTCTATTTTATTATTATTAAAATAAATATTTTTAATAAAAAATATTAAGTTAAATATAATACTTTTTTATTCATAATTTTTAATTTTTTTTACATTTAACAAAATTAAAATTTTTTTTTTACATGTACAGTATACAGTATATAGATTATACAGTAATTTGTAGATTTATATAACAAAATATTAAACCAATTTTTATATAACAATTAATACTAGATTAAAATTAAAGATTAAAGTTAAAACAAAATTTATTTTAAAACAACAAAAAAAAATTTTTTTAAAATATTTTTATAAATAAAATTTTAAGATATTACTAATTTTTAAAAAATTTTATTTTTTGTAATACAAAATTAATTTGCATATTAATTTTATTAGTTAATTGTTAAAATATAAAATATAAATATTGCAAAATAAAATACCTAATTTACTTCTTATTTTGTATTTATGCAGTATTTTTATTATAGTAAAATTTATTTTTTAAATTACTGTATTATCTGTATTTTTTTTAAAAAAAATTTAAATTATCAAATATACTATTTTTTAATAATGATTTTAGTAAAAGTTTTTATATATTTTTTATTTAATATACAAAAACTTTTTACTAAAATCATTATTAAAATTTAAAGCTTTTTTTAAAGTGCTAAAGATTGAATCTTTAGCACTTTAAAAAAAGCTTTAAATTTTAATCTTAATCTAAACTCTAACTCTAATTCTAAAGTTTAAAATTTGAGATAAAAATTTTTTATAGGTTTTACACAAGTACTGTACAGTATAATTGAAAATATATACGTAGTGATAATTCTTTACCTTAGATGAATTTTTAATTAATTCTTGAAGAAATAAAGTTAAGTTTTAAAATTTTAAACTAGACATTTAAAAAAATTTTTATTGAAAAAGAATTATTACGTAGTTAAAATATTAAATAAACCTTATTTTAAGCAATAACTGCTACGTATATTACTATATGTGCTTAAAGTTTGGTTTGCTTTTTATAAATACTATAAAATATTATATATCTTTTTAACAAACCAGGGTTAGCATTATATATATATATATAGTTTAGTTATTTAAAATTATTACTGTATATCGTTTAGTTATATTAAATTAATGCTTGCGTCAGACGTCGACTTTTTGGCCCGCATTAACTGATCGATATTGATTGACCTAAATTAAGTCCAAATCCTTCCCAGATTCTTACCCTAGCCCTATCTTAACTTAGGCCGATTGACATCTGAGGCAAGCGTTAGTCTGAGGCACGTATAAACAGAACAGGAGGAAACGTTGAAGTTACACAGCTGATTTTTCACACGGTGTGAAACACATAAAAAATTTATTTTACAATACTTGATCGGACTTGGACAGTCAGCTAGTACATGTTACGATTATAATCCAACATCATTTTTTTATAATAAAAACTGATGTTGGATTATAATCGT